AAATGTTTAAAATGGGCTTTCAGTGCATTCCAGGGCGTTTGCATGCGTTCCAGAGCAGGTAAAATAGGGCCTGCTTCATTTTTTTTTAAACCTGCTCTGGAACAGAACACTGCAATGTGAACTGGAGCTAAAAATACCATTGGAATACATTGGACGCAGTTTTGCTACGGTCTGTAACTGCTCTGCTCCTGGAACGCACTTGGTGTGAACAAGGCCTAAAGGGAAGCTGTTACCCCTACTCATTCATCACATGCAGTAAAATTGTAAATAAACACACTGTGAAAAAAAGTCCTTTATTTGAAAAACACACAACACAGGTTTTTCATAAGTCTTTTATTGAAGAAGAAATAAACACCTCCTGAGCCAGTTCTGTCACTTTTACACTGCTAACAATTCAAATTTGGCGCCCAAAAATCATCCGCCGATGACGTCACCGAAGACCGGACTTCCGCGCATGCGCAGAAGCGCTCGGAAGCCGCCAGTGCCCATCCTGCTCTGCCCTTACACCGCAAACAGCCGAACGGGCAAAACGCTGCGAGGAGCCGCCTCAACGAGTCGGGCCACAGAACATAGTTAAGATTATCCCCCACAGGCTTACCTTGCCCCTGCAATACACCGCATATTGAAAATTTTGCAGGTTTAATATAAACATGGCTTTCATGAGGAGGATACCTCAGACCGAAATGAAAGCTGTTTCTTCCCAAGGGGACACCCTTGCTCGGGGCCGAGTCTTGGGAACCTCCCAGGGGAGAGAGGCTGAACTCCCCTGAGGCCATCCAGAACTCCATGACTTCATATTCCTTAGTAAACGAGTATAACCCTGTCCTAGAGGGGACAGGAACAAAAATGACTGGGTGAAGCCGGCTGGAGGAGGGGCTTTTATGGAGAGGGTTAGGTCATGTTTAACCCTTTTGGTTCCTGTCATCTAGGGGTAATTGGAGCTAACACCCAATGGTCAGCGCTGCCATGGATATGGCCAGGAAAAGAAAATGTCCATCGATGCAAATGTCAATCATGATGGCAACAGACTCGCCAAAAGAAAAAAAAATACCCAATGCCCGCCGACCCAACCTATCCAGATGAACTCTCAACGAAAAATATCATCTCTGACCCGTATGTCAATAAAGGGGCAGGGCAAGTCCTGACGATGTTGACATTTGGAAGCAGAACTGTCATATTATCTCTGCTCCCGAATAGAATCATTTTTTTTAAAATAAAGGATTTTTACAGTGTAGTGTGTTCATTAACATTTTTAAGATCAGTTTAGAGACCACATACAATACTAGTGACTAGTTCTTTGCCCCTTGCCTGCCTTTTTTTGCGGGTACTTCAAGAGTTAATTTTCTCCTTAACATTATTTCCATGCCCCATTTCATGAAAACTGGAGCAGACAAAATCTGGAGCAGCTGCGCATGGCAACCAATCAGCATCTTTCTTTCATTTTCAAATCTTAACTGAAAGAGAGAAGCTGATTGGTTGCCATGCACAGCTGCTCCAGATTGTGTGCTCCAGTTTTGATAAATTCCCTTCATTTAGTTTAGAGGCTTACACGTGTATATTATCCTATTTCATTTTTATTAAAGGAGAACTATGGGGTCATTGTTTTTCCCCATAGTTCTCCTTAGGGTAACGGGAGGACACAAACTAGCGTCCTCCCGTTACCCTAAGCTCAGTATACCGCGAGCCACATCTGGAAGGTCTTTAGTTACTTATCCTGCAACCCAATCCTTTTCCTGCTTACCAGTTGCTGACCTGGCTTGTCTCCTGGCTACAGTTTGTTCCTGCTTACCAGTTGCTCAGCCGGCTTGTCTCCTGACCATGGCTTGATCCTGCTTACAAGTTATTGGCTCAGCCTGCCTCCTAACCAGAGACTTTGTTGTTTTGCTACCTGTTTTCAACCAGTTGTTGACACCTTTCCCAACAATCTCTGCAAGGTTACCTGGCCCTGGGTGGTCTACGGCCAATCAGGAGCACCAATCATGGTCAAAACTCACTCTCAAAGCCATTGACCTGCATTGCCAATTCAGGACTTTAGCCACCCGTGCTACTCAGTACCTCCACGTTCCCTGTCACCACTCCAGGGACATGTGGACTAGTCCACAAAATTAAAACAAAAACAAAAGCAAAAGAGAAAAGGCAGACTCAATAGACTACTTGGTCTTTGTATGCCTTGTTCTGCGATTTTTCTATGTCTGCAAGGTCATAGTAGCAGAGCTTAAATAATTCTGCAGTATATCAAGTCAGACAAGTGCACTTAGTACAATACAAAACACACAAAAATCCCCAGCACACCTGCCAGCTAGCCTGCAACAAAACAAATGACTCTGTTAACAGTATGCGTTAAAAGCAGAGGTTTTAGTTGCACAAACCTTTGGCCAAAAATATGTAGAAGCCACACCGCCCCGTCAAGGCACCTCTGTAAAGTGTGGTCCTAATTCTATTTATATGAGTCTCCAAATGGGAGCATATGATAAATTAAATGCAGGTGTACAGGGCCAGACTGGCCATCGGGCATATTGGGCACTTTCCCGGTGGTCCGGGTCGAATACAATCAGCCTAATGTTTAGGCCATCCCGGCCCGCTATGCCCGATGCTGTTAGCCGCCTAAGGGTGGGTGGCAGGGAGCTGGTTTTCTGGATGAGCTGCAAAGAGGATCGTGGATAATAACCCTTGGCCAACTGTGCACAAAAATCCTAATCTCCTCTAATGTACCTCTGGATTCTTATATGAATATGAAAATGGCTGTTGTGTAAAATATGTGGTAACATGACAAACGTAAGAGGGAGTTTATAGCTGTTTTTTTTGCAATAACCCTTGGTCAATATCATACAACCCTGAAAAAAATTATACCAAGGACCAAAAATGGGGTGTAGTTCTCCCCAAATTCTACTATAAATCGTATGTTTACATAGTTGATATTAAACACTCGAAGAGTCATACCTGTATACCTGTATACCTTTTATAGACTAGTAGAGATGAGCAAAACTGGAAGTTTTCAGTGAAATTTTCAGAAGAACCTTTATTAGGATACATTTGAGTCAATTGGAATTGAATAGTTAATGTGATTTTTGATGGTTAAAGGGCTTTAAATGACTTGTGTGTGTGTTAGGGAAGCTTTTAACTACGCTGAATCTTTCTTGCACCAAAAAAAAAAAAGATTTTTAAACTTGTGGCTAACCCTGATGATAATTCTAGCGGAAGCATTGTAATGGTGATCACTCCAGTATATGGTAGGTGAGAAAAGCCTTAAACAATAAATAAAATGACATGATGATTATGATCTATTCTTCTATTGATAGAAACATAGAGTCAACACATTCTAGAAGTTAAAAAATGTATCTTCTTCAATGCAGAGAGGCAGTAAAAACCCTATGCAACATACATGTCATGTTGTATCTGGTCTATACATAAATCCACCCAATTCTTGCTAATTATGTATGCTATTGAACTGCATTGAGCGCACACTGTTGCTGAACTGCAGGGGACTTCCACGACTTAATAATAATTTGCAGCTTCTTCTGATCAGGTCCATCCCCATTTTGTATTGTATACTGAAAGATCATCATTATATCAAAACTGAAAGGCTGAATGGCCACATTCAAGAAAAGATTACCTCTTCCATGTCCCTGGGAATGCAAACCAATAAAACTTTTAATAAAAGCCAAGACTCCGCTAAAGTCAATATTGAAAAGATAAATATGTAGATGTTTGTTGTGTAACTCTGGCTTAGAAGTCTCCCTATAATTAGCCCATGAGAAACGTTATAATAAAGGATTTGACTAAACTGACATAGAGGTAAGGGTTGCTTTACTGTTCAGTGCTACTCAAAGTGAAGTGCTTTCTAATCTTGATACTTTATAAAGTACTTTATTCATGTATTTTCTTACTGGATTCTGGGAATATTTAGTTAGAGTTTCTGTAAATTAGAACCTATCCAGTACCAAAGTCCTAAAAGTAAATATATAAAGCCTAAATATGTTTTCTTTTTTTTGGATATAGTAGGGAATGGCTAAAACACTGTCAGGTTGTTTTGTTTGTTGCCTTCGGTGTCTAATTAAATAGAATTTCCTTCACTTTCTGTAGACACAAAAGGAAGTAAGAGGAATTGTCACAAGAACATGTCACTATTGGAAGATTTCCCTTCTATTGTGTTTTAGTGATAACTCTAAATTTTAGATTTGTCGCTCACTTTCAGTGCTAGTGACAATGTTTACCAGGACAAATAGAGAGCATTCATCTCCCTAGCGGGGACACAAGACAGCAATAAAGGTTTTAACCCTTATCTGCTTTATCCAAAGCTGAAAAAAGGTTTGGACTTTAGATACATGTTAAAGTAAACCTAAGATTTGAAAACAGTCGTCTACCACTTGGATCAAATAGTAGGCATTTACGACAGGACAATTTTCTAAATCACTGACCCTGGTTCCCTGAATCTGGACTATCTGTACTATTATACAGATATTGACTTAGCTTACCTGACCCTACCTACCTTGATAACATGGACCCAGCCACTCTCACCTCCTAAGACTCTCTAGGGCTATTTCATGAAAACTGGAGCAGACAAAATCTGGAGCAGTTGCCCATGGCAACCAATCAGCTTTTCTGTTTCATTTTCAAAGCTTGACTGAACAAACTGAAGAGAGAAGCTCATTGGTTGCCATAAGAAAATGTCTGCTCCAGTTTTCATGAATTCTTCCTTCTACTGGCAAGTGATAAGTGAATAAGTGTGAAGGATGCAACGGCAGGTTCTTGACCCAGGTTCATGAGTATATATTTCTTATATCTGTAGAAAACCATTTAATTGTTTAGAGATGGACCTGTCACAAAGGGTACCTTCTAAATGTTGCTAGTGGCAAATTAGTATTGGATTGGGGTGAAAAACTGCTTTGTTTATAAACCCTGATTTATAACTAAAAGTCTTGGGTTTTAGGATCAGACTCGGTTTACAGCTGTATGTATATATGTGCAAATAATAACCCCCTATTGTTTATTCTATCCAGATCTTGGGATGAATTTCATAAGTGTGCCAGCAATGTTCTGGCCCACTGCCCTGGAGATACAGCTGCCATATGGGAGTCCTTGAGACAGGAGTCAAGGAAAATCCAATACCAGGGAAATCTACATGACCTCTGTACTTCAAGGAATCAGCAACTAAATACCATGGGAGCCAGAGATCCTGGTGAAACAATCAAAGAAACGCTGCGTGGCCTGGCATATATTTCAAAACACAGTGTATTATCATTTGTTTTTGCCGGAATGCTTCAGTGGATTATAGCTGAGCAGACATAACAAATATTTATGTTTTAAAAAAGTTAAATGATTAACTTCTTTCTACAGATACAAACATGTTCTTATATCACTTATAATCACAGAAAATATATTGCACTACCCCTATTTCATATTCTACAAACATGATATGATAATTGTTAACTACGGGTAAAAAAAAATATAATAAGTAAAAAAATCTCTATACCGTATATACTCGAGTATAAGCCGTCCCGAATATAAGCCGAGGTACCTAATTTTAGCAAAAAAAACTGGGAAAAAGTATTGACCCGAATATAAGCCGAGGGTGGGAAATGAGGCAGCTACTGGTAGATAGATACCAATAAAATGACATTAATATTTATTTAAAAGAAAAATAACCTAGCTCTGTAAGTGGAAAAGGGGGTACAGGGCTACATATCATGTACTACGGATCATTTAACCCATTCATATTAGCAGAGGATAATTGTAAATCTATTGTTCAGTGCACTCTATATGTAGTATATAGTACATGTACATATAGAGTGCCTGCAACAATACATTTACAATGATCCTCTGCTAACATGAATGGGTTAAATGATCCATAGTACAGGGCTACATACAGATCATTTAATACATTCATGTTAGTATAATTGTAAATGTATTGTCTGCACTGTATTAGCAGTATATACTCTATATAGAGTATATACTGCTAATACAGTGCAGACAATACATTTACAATTATACTAACATGAATGTATTAAATGATCTGTATGTAGCCCTGTACTATGGATCATTTAACCCATTCATGTTAGCAGAGGATCATTGTAAATGTATTGTTGCAGGCACTCTATATGTACATGTACTATATACTACATATAGAGTGCACTGAACAATAGATTTACAATTATCCTCTGCTAATATGAATGGGTTAAATGATCCGTAGTACATGATATGTAGCCCTGTACCCCCTTTTCCACTTACAGAGCTAGGTTATTTTTCTTTTAAATAAATATTAATGTCATTTTATTGGTATCTATCTACCAGTAGCTGCCTCATTTCCCACCCTCGGCTTATATTCGGGTCAATACTTTTTCCCAGTTTTTTTTGCTAAAATTAGGTACCTCGGCTTATATTCGGGACGGCTTATACTCGAGTATATACGGTATACAGATATAATGTATTTATTTTATATTAGGCACAGAAAATGGTGTGGCGACAACAATTTGAGATAGTGCCGCAAAGTGCTTTAGATTTTTAAAGATGAATCTAGTCCTGGCTATGCACCATACATCTAACTTATTTTTTTCCAGTATTTATTCAGCCACCTCAATATACAGTCATAGGTAGTCTTTATAATATATTAGTATATGCTTTTAAGCATATCCAAAGAATACTGTTTGTATGTGTACCTTATGATGTTTGTTCATTTAATTTATTAATGGAAATCTGTTGTCACAATATAATACTATTCTATGGCTTGTATTTCCTAATTGTTAAATATTAAATTGAATTTAATGGCAATTAATTCTTGCTGAAGTGATCCAGGGATATGGCATCTTGCCAGGCTCTTGGGTCCCAAATTATGTTATTACACGCAGGAGGCAGGAATAATACAGCTGAGAGAAAAATGTATGCATCAGACATTCAGAACTAAGCTATGTGGGAATTAAGAAGTGAACTCCTATCAAGCACAGAAGGCTGTCAGTGCCCAGGAATAGTGCTAATTTTTGGTACATTGCAAACCTCTCTACAGAACATTATGTCCAGAAAGCAGTAGATAGCTGTCATCCTGACAGGTTCTTTTATAGCTCCAGATCCCAGCTGCAAATAGGAAAACCTGGAATAACCTGAAAAGCCAGGTTCTTCCTTATAACCTGCTTTACTTTCTGGACCCTCTCAGCCCCTTTGGCTGAGAGTCCTGGGTGCCAAGGTCGCCATCCTCCACCGTGGCATTGGCTTACACTGCCACAATATATATATATATAGTAATGTTGCTTTTTTTTGTTGTAAATTCTTTATTTATGTATTCCATCAATTTTCCAAGTTTTCATGAGAAAAGAACCAAAAAGAACAAACATTTGTAGCCATACCATCATTTACACAAATACTAAACATCTTTGTGCAGCCATAACACCCTAATGGTGGTTATGACTGGTCTCATTTCTCCTACAAACTAGGAGTCACGCTACAGCTGAGCTCCGGTCCATATCGCCACTTGTAAGGGTCCCTCCCATTAAGACCCACTCTTCCTATAGGTGTTAGGAGCAAGCAGTGTTAATTAGATCCACCAGTGAGGGCTATCAAAGAATAACCGATATATGAACCTATAAAACCTAATATAAGAGAAAATGATGTGAAAATAGATAGGGAATAGTAGTGGGGAGAGTGGAAGGTAGAAGAGAATAAGTGACACTGGGAAGGCAGGAAAAAGAGGGTAAGGAAGAGGAGAAAAGAAAGAAAAAGAAAAACAGAGGATGGGCAGCAGCACCTAGTCTGCCTCCCATGTCTCCAACCCCGGCATTCCCTGTCCGCTGTAGACCCACTTCCGTACTGCTCTGTGCCCTCTACAGGGGAAACTCGAATAATTAGAATATCGTGCAAAAGTTCATTTATTTCACTAATGCAACTTAAAAGGTGAAACTAATATATGAGATAGACTCATTACATGCAAAGCAAGATAATTCAAGCCGTGATTTGTCATAATTGTGATGATTATGGCTTACAGCTCATGAAAACCCCAAGAACCCCAAATCCACAACCTCAAAAAAGTAGATTATTACATGCAATCAATAAAACAAGGATTGTACATAGAACAATATCGGACCTCTGAAAAGTATAAGCACGCATATGTACTCGGTTTGGGCCCCTTTTGCAGCAATGACTGCCTCAATGCGGCGTGGCATGGAAGCTATCAGCCTGTGGCACTGCTGAGGTGTTATGGAAGACCAGGATGCTTCAATAGCGGCCTTCAGCTCTTCTGCATTGTTCGGTCTCATGTTGCTCATCTTTCTCTTGGCAATGCCCCATAGATTCTCTATGGGGTTCAGGTCAGGCGAGTTTGCTGGCCAATCAAGCACAGTAATCCCAGGTCATTGAACAAGGTTCTGGTGCTTTTGGCAGTGTGGGCAGGTGCCAAATCCTTTTAAGTTGCATTAGTGAAATAAATTAACTTTTGCACGATATTCTAATTATTCGAGTTTCACCTGTATCCGCCACACAGAGGGCTTAGTATTCCTCAGAGGAAGAGTACTCAGTCCAGTAAAACCAGACATCCATGGACACCCCCCACCCGTCCAAGCTCTCTCCTGATGATCAGTAAAGTTGACCCCCATTTCCCTTTCCCATGCCCCTATATATGAGGGTCTCGGCAAGTCCGGAGGGTGGGAGAGGACATGACACGCCAGAGATAGACCATGACGAATAGGGGAAGTGGCCAGACATAATTCCTCATATGATGTGGGCTTGGGTATCTGTTGAACATTCCTAAACTGGCTAGTCAGAAAATGTCTAAGTTGAATCGAGCTCCACAAGGGCAAAACTGGTTCAGTCATATGTTGAATCTCAGAAATCGAAGGGAAGTGTCCGTTCTCCCAGAAATGCATTAGACGCGTCTTACCCGCTTGCCTGAGGGAGTTACAAATCGGACCTTCAAGCCCTGTTGTGAAATTTGGAGACATGCCCGTTGACTTCAAGGTGTCCAGAACATAGTCAGGGAGCAATCTCATCACTTTTAGCATTGGGCCAATCAAGGGGGTGGCATTTTACCTGCAGATCAACCTCCTTGGTCTAGCCAGGGGAGACACCAAAGGGGAACTCTAGTCGCTACCTGTTCCAGTTGGATCCATCTCTTACTCTCTCCATTCCCACACCATTCTAGGACTCTCGCCATATGCACCACTCGGTGATATTGGATCGAATCCAGGAATCCCAGACCTCCCTCCTCCTTGGGGCGACATAGAAGAGTCTGTTTAAGATGGTGAGGCCTGTGATTCCACAGAAATCTAGCAAACTCTCCCCTCACCGCTCTTAAGAAAGAAGTCGGGACAGCTATCGGGAGAGTTTGCATGAGATATAGCAGTCAAGGAAGCACATTCATCGTTAGTACACTGTTCCGGCCAAACCAGGACAATAGGGATTCGGACCACTTATGTAGATTTTTCTTCCAGCTAGTCAGACAGGGCGGAAATTTGGCTTGAATGACCTTATCCACCGTGGCTGGCAATGTAACTCCCAGCTATTTTAAACCCGAACTGGACCATCAGGTCGGGAAGCTCGATTTCAGGGCCTCTGATGTGGCTCAACAGTGGTTCCAGCGTCAGAATGAACATTATTGAGGACAGAGGGCAACCCTGCCTTGTTCCGTTACTCAACTTAAAATAGTCAGAGTGGGCTTTGTTGACCCTCGTAATTTTACTTTTTGTAAGAGTTAAGACATTTAAGATTTACTAATGTAAAATGTTTAAAAATGCAGTAAAAAAAAAAAGCAGATAATTCTATCTGCTTTGTGTCCCTCCTATTAGCAACTGAAAGATCATTGATTAATTGATGAATTGGCTTCTGACAGTGAGTACCTGCTTTTATGTGTAATGGGGCCATGAATTGTTCTATACTCTCCGTGAAGCATTGGACGATTTTCAATTATATGAAAATTAGGGGTTAATTAATTTAGTACAATACATGTTTACTTTGCAACATTAATGTTCTCTAAGCTGAGTAAATTATGTAAATCCATGTTCTAGTAAAAACCCTGATTTTTTTCCCTGACACATGATTGAGTATTCAAAGTGAACACAGGTTCACCTTACTGTTAACATTCAACATACATACGCTTTGATAAATGAACATCCTTCTTCCTATTAGTAAATCAACCCCATTGTGTAATGTCCTGTTGTAACAAGGAAATAAAAGAAAAGGCGAAAGGCTCTAGTGCCTCATTAACTACATATATATTACAATAAAAACAATGCTACACTCACAAGTGTTGATAGTAGGATAGTGCTTAAAAGTACAGTAAATCCAGCAGCTTCAGCTCACATTATGTGGTTAGCGAGAGGGCCATAGACCCAATCATCTGGCTGTCTGCAAATTTCAGCTGGAACAAGGTAACGTGCCCCACAATATACACAAGCACAA